ATATCCTATTGTGAACATTGTCACTGTAGAATAATAGAATGAAAATAAATACTACACAGCAAAAGTTTCATGTTCAATATGGTATAGTTCTAACCAACTTCCTTAGACTGAATGATTATGACTATATTCTCCAACCTAAATTATATAGTTATCCTTATTACTTACAAAAAACCATAAACAAGAGTAACAATGCAAAACGAAAAACAATACTAATATCAATTTTAATAATTCTAACATAGATGAAACTGGCTTAGATAAATTCAATACTTCTTCTATTTAGGCAATTAATTTAGGAATATTTCTACTTTAAACATAAAATAATGCTATAAAAACATCAGCCCAATTATCTAATACATTAATAGTATTTGAATCTGAATTAAATAAGTAGATAGTCAAAATTAAAAGAGATATAGATTCTAAACCATAACTTTTTGTTATTACATGTTTAGCTATTGTTGCTCTTTAATTAGCTATTTAACCAAATTAATAAAATGAATTGTTAAAACTAATAAGATAATCTAATAATAAAATTATGAGTGCTAAAATTGAAACTGGATATAACTTACCATAAATTACTGGAATTTCTGTCCATCCCAAATCTATTGGAATTAAATACATAAAATATAATCTTGAAAATGCTACAAAACAATCCCAAATTAATTTCCATCTTGATTCAGGAGATATTAAAGGAATTTTTTATAAATATTGTTCAACCCTTTTAAAAATATCCTGAATGTTTTATTTTTATCTAATTAAATAACTTTTCATTTATTATGCTAATGAAGGTGTAGATAGATTCTCAGATTAATTTTATCTTCTTAAACCTCTATGAATTGGTTTAAAATGTAAACTGCTTTCCTTAAATAACTTTAAATCAAAGGAGGAACCTTTATCATTTATTAAATCATATTAATATTGACTAAATTTTGTGTTTATTCTTTTTCGTTCACTAATTCTTCTAATAAACTTTATTATATTCCAAGATTAAAATAATGTTAATTAATGCTATGATTCATCCTTTTATTATCTAGAAGATGCTTATATAATTAATCGTGCATCTGGACTATCAATACTTATTCTCTAACTTCTCATTTCTTCATTTGATAACTAAATTGGCTCTAATTATTTTTAACCATTCTATTATGAAATTGAATAATAAGCATCAGATAAAGAATTATTTACAAAATGATGAATTTCACCTATCTGTTCATCAGTAATCATGAATTACTATACTTTATGTGACTATTAAGTATCAATTTGAGTTTGTAATTGCATATAATTTATATTATAATTGTCAAATTATCTATTGCTAAAATTAAAATTATTTTCAAAAAAGGCTCATTAAAGTTAATTAATTATTAGATAATTAGGAATGATAATAATAATATTCGATTTATAATTTATTTTAATTTATATTATATTACCTTTTTTAATTATCATATAATTCTTAATTGTCCATAATTAGATATAATAAAACCCAAAAAAAATAAACATATTAATTTATTATTTATTTACTCTTGATTGTCTATATTCAAATTATAAAGTTATTTTAATTTATTTAACCAATTATTGATAATAAATTAATAATTCTTTTTAAAAATTAAATTAATTATAGATAATTTAGTATTATATAAATGATAGGAGAATATTAAAAAATAAGATATCAATGTTTAATGGATTTTGATCCGTTAGTTCTTTATCCATTTTCTAATTAGTATCTTTTCTCTTCTTTTTTTCCACCATTATCAATTGTTTCAACTACTTCTGTTGTTCCATCAGCCTTTGTTGTTGTTTTTCTTGTAACTGTGACTTTACGACCATTTCTAAGTTATTAATTATTTATTTATACTATATTGTTGTTGAAGTAGAAATTGAAGTTGATCCTCCAAATCCACCACCAAAGTTAGAAGATGAAAATGATTAAAATGAACCACCTCCCATACCCATGAAGTCATCATCATCAAAACCACCAAAACCTCCAAATCCACCAAATCCAAATGGACTTCTTTAAGAATTGTTACTATTTTTTTTGCTGCCTTTTCTTCCAAAGAAGAACCCTAGTTCATCATCATCCATTCCAAAATTTTAAAAGAAACTCTCAAATTATTTAAAAGGATCAAATCCATCCCCAAAACCACTAAATCCATGGAATCCTGAAAATGAACTAGCACCACCACCGCCATTCTTTAAACTAATTATATAAGATTATATTAGAGTACCCTTCATGACCATATCTATCATAAATAGCTCTTTTATCTTTATCAGATAATACAGAATAAGCTTCTCCAATTTTTTTAAACTTTTCTTAGGCTTCTTATTTATTATTAGGGTTTTTATCCTAAAATTATTATTCATTAATCATACTGGATGCCACTTAATTGCCAATTTTCTATAAGCCTTTTTAATTTCATCATCAGAAGCTGTTTTGCTTACTCCTAAAATCTCATAATAGTCTTGTTCTTTATTTGACATACTTATATATTTATAGATTATTATATTTATTTAGACCCAGAGAGGAAGTTAAATATTCAAAGAAAATTCTAGAACTTTATATATATATATTAATTATATATCATAAATTCTGATAAGTTCTATATACATCATATGTTACAAATATAATTACCTAACATTGTTATTAGTTCAAATCATAAAAATATCAATTGATATGTATTATTATTCTCATATTCAAACTATTTTTCTATTAGTGAAACAGAAAGTAGGTATGCATCATAAAAGATAAAATTTTATTGTCTATCTTATTAAATAAAAGGTTGGACATCATAATAATGTAGTAAGAAATAAGAATTGATAGAATATGAAAAGAGTTTATAAAATTATTATTTAATATATAAATATTTATGNTAGATAATTTAGTATTATATAAATGATAGGAGAATATTAAAAAATAAGATATCAATGTTTAATGGATTTTGATCCGTTAGTTCTTTATCCATTTTCTAATTAGTATCTTTTCTCTTCTTTTTTTCCACCATTATCAATTGTTTCAACTACTTCTGTTGTTCCATCAGCCTTTGTTGTTGTTTTTCTTGTAACTGTGACTTTACGACCATTTCTAAGTTATTAATTATTTATTTATACTATATTGTTGTTGAAGTAGAAATTGAAGTTGATCCTCCAAATCCACCACCAAAGTTAGAAGATGAAAATGATTAAAATGAACCACCTCCCATACCCATGAAGTCATCATCATCAAAACCACCAAAACCTCCAAATCCACCAAATCCAAATGGACTTCTTTAAGAATTGTTACTATTTTTTTTGCTGCCTTTTCTTCCAAAGAAGAACCCTAGTTCATCATCATCCATTCCAAAATTTTAAAAGAAACTCTCAAATTATTTAAAAGGATCAAATCCATCCCCAAAACCACTAAATCCATGGAATCCTGAAAATGAACTAGCACCACCACCGCCATTCTTTAAACTAATTATATAAGATTATATTAGAGTACCCTTCATGACCATATCTATCATAAATAGCTCTTTTATCTTTATCAGATAATACAGAATAAGCTTCTCCAATTTTTTTAAACTTTTCTTAGGCTTCTTATTTATTATTAGGGTTTTTATCCTAAAATTATTATTCATTAATCATACTGGATGCCACTTAATTGCCAATTTTCTATAAGCCTTTTTAATTTCATCATCAGAAGCTGTTTTGCTTACTCCTAAAATCTCATAATAGTCTTGTTCTTTATTTGACATACTTATATATTTATAGATTATTATATTTATTTAGACCCAGAGAGGAAGTTAAATATTCAAAGAAAATTCTAGAACTTTATATATATATATTAATTATATATCATAAATTCTGATAAGTTCTATATACATCATATGTTACAAATATAATTACCTAACATTGTTATTAGTTCAAATCATAAAAATATCAATTGATATGTATTATTATTCTCATATTCAAACTATTTTTCTATTAGTGAAACAGAAAGTAGGTATGCATCATAAAAGATAAAATTTTATTGTCTATCTTATTAAATAAAAGGTTGGACATCATAATAATGTAGTAAGAAATAAGAATTGATAGAATATGAAAAGAGTTTATAAAATTATTATTTAATATATAAATATTTATGTTAACTAAATTGCTATAGAAATCAAGATAAGCACGATTTTGTGGTAAGAAAAAGAGATGAATATTTAGTTTATATAAAGAATTCTGTAAATTATCATGTTGCAAATTCTTAAGATCCAAATAGTAAATTTGCCACTCCTTAATTCAATTCAAGCATTCTTGATTTTGATAAAGATTAGGAGAATAATGTTTAAATGCACTACTATCAAGGTATGTTAGTAGTGTGAGATTGTTTAGGAAAATTCATGCCAGATGAATTGGATTGGACAGATGTTTGGGAAACAGCATATTAAAATTTTACATAACCAGAATACCTTTATCATTTTTGGTTTTGTGGTGTTCTTTATTGTTTCGAGCCTGAATGGACCATTAATTATCCATATGAAAAAGGTCCTCTTTCTCCATTGTTTAGAGGAGAACATGCATTAAGAAGATATCCAACAGGAGAGGAAAGGTATATTATAGAAATTTGAAATTTTAGATGTATTGCATGTAAATTATGCTAAAGTGCTTGTCCTGCTAGAGCTATTACAATAGAAACAGAACCAAGACCTGATAATTCAAGGTATTTTGATTTAATAAAGTATTAGACGTACAGTGAGATATGATATTGATATGACTAAGTGTATTTATTGTGGATTTTGTTAAGAAGCATGTCCAGTTGATGCAATTGTAGAAGTATTTAATAATATTTTATTAAAGGGTCCAAATTATGAATACACAACCTATTAACATGAAGATTTATTCTATGACAAATTTAAACTTTTAGAGAATGGTGACAAATGGGAACCATAAATAGCAAGAAATATTGAATATTTAATTACAAGAAAATATTGATTAAATAAAATTGAATATTTGCAAATAAAAAGATATATAAATATATTACAGAATCAATTTTGAATTTTAATATCTTATTAAATAAAGCTTAAAATATAAGCATTTTCGAGTAATCTTTCTAAAGGAACTAGTGTTAACAATTATTTGCTTGTTTAATAATTGAATCGAATATTTCTCATTGAAATAACCATTGTTATCATTGAAATTGTCATCAATAAAGCAGAAAACATTACCAAAATTATATCTATGTTTATATTGTCTTCTACTGATTTCTATATCTGATTAGTTAAAGTTGAAACAATAACAAAAAATCCCATTGAATCATAAAGTCTTTCAATTTATGATGTAACAGAATAATAATTCAATTAAAGATATTCTTAAGTAGCATTATTTTCTAAATCTTACAAAAATCTTAATTGTTAATCACATAAATCTGCAAAAATTACACTTAATCCTCCCTTTAAAATGGGATAACTCATACATTAGTCATATGAAAATAATTCATCATATTCCTAATAACTTGTTCTAATAATAATAATAAATTTGTTATTTACAATGAATCATTGAAAATATTGCAAGCTGATTTTGTCACTATGTTATAAATGATTTAATCTTATTAATATAATGATAATTTCTTTCTTAAATCATTCAATTCACTAACAGTTTTATTTTAGATTGTTAAGATTTCACTAGTGATTTAAGTTTAAATGAAAACTTAGGATTAAGCAAATGCTAAAGTAATCTCATAATAAGCTTATTAAAATAATATCTTATCATTAAATTAGATAAGAATTTTATCAATAGTAGCTTAATGCATTAAATTACTTCCAATAAAATAAATGGAACATACTATCATCAATATCAAAACAAATAAGAAAAAGATTATTTGTGTTGAATTATTACCTATAAAAATATATTCTATTTAATTACTTTTTTATTTTATTCTTTTTCCTACTTTTTAGTATTTTTCTAAAATAGAATCACTTGATTATTTATGAAAAGCTTATCCTATAATCATTTCAAATTTCTCTTCATTTATTTCTTCTTTTTTGAATTTAGTATTGTTCATAAGTGAATATAATGAAGAAAAAGTTACATATTGTTCTTATATAACATCTGTAGTAAATGTACAAAACAATTTGAATACTTTCTATTTCATCTTTATAAGTTTAATACACTTGTATGCATACCAACAGATAAATAAAACTAGACCTATTTCTTCAGCTATAACTCTAAAAATGATAGTCATAAATATTATAAATTATTTACATATATTATATATTTGTAATATTTCTAGTTGTATCTGTTTCATATAAAGTATGAATCATACTTTCAAAGTATTTTGTATTATTTAAGAAAGTATTATAATTAAAAAATTAATTATTTTTTTGATTTATCATTTACTAAATAATATGAATTGATTGTCGTTTTAATGAATTATCTACATTTACTTCTATTTCTGGAATATTTTTCAAAACTTCATCTATATTTTTAATTTCATTCTAATAAAAATCTAAACTAATTTATTGCAAATCTGAAAATGGGAATAATAAATTATATTACAAATAAAAGGAAGAAATTACAAATTCATTATAAAAATAAGATAATTAATATGGTAAATTCTAACTAGATTAATTTTATTATATCTTCTAATAATTTGAAGAGAAAAGTAAGCAATTAATAATATATGATCCAATTATCAATAAATAACATATAAGTAAAACTATTGCTTATTTTTTATTTATTGTAGGATTATCATTTAAACAATCTTTCATTTATCTTTTGAGTTATGATTAATTATTTTATGAAGATCTACTACCTATTGACATATTATTTTAATTATCCATTTTATTCATTTAATTCTTCTTTTTTTCATCAATCTTAATTGAAGGTTATTCTTCTTAAGGAGGTTTTTATTAAAGACTTTCAATTTCATCTTAAACATATTAAATTAATTGCATTTATTATTAATGAATTGTATTAGAAATATTAACTGTAGCTAATTAATTTTTGACTTCATCAATCATTCTTTCCTCTTCTTATAATAAATTATTATCTAAATCACAATCTATTACCCAAGGTGAATTTAATAAACTTGATTATTCTCTAAAACTTGTCTAATTTTGAAATTATTAAATATGAAATTATTTAGAAGTCCTCACCCTTAACTAAATTATTTATTTACTTGATATCTTTTAATTTGCCATCAATCTATAATCTTATAATTCTAAAATTACTAATCTAAATAATTAATAAATTTTATTAATACCTTAAATTTATAGTAACTAAACTGATAACATGTAATTAAACAAGAAAAATAACATTTTCAGTAGGTTAACTTTCAAAATTCTTATAAATTTATTTCTAAAAATATAATTTAGATAAATTTTTAGATATTTATGATTATGACATATTTTTATTATTATTAATTAATGGAATTATGAATTAACATTCAAATTTTTTATCTAATTTATCAAAATTTTAATCATAAATATCTTCCCAAATTTTAGCTAATTCAGGTATAAAAAATAAACAATCCAATCCTCTTATTTATTATATTTATATTCCTAAATATTTTTAAAACATTTCTTCAAAAATATTTTAAGTTATTTCTTCAATTTGTCCTTTCTCATTTAAAATCATATATCCAAATGTCAAATTTACAGGTGTAATTAGAGCAGTTGCACCAAATTCAGTTGGACTTGTTTCAATTCTCAATCTAGTATTAATTGGTACAAGAAATTATCCTTTATTTTTACCCAATATAACTCTAACTTCTGATCTTACCACTATAATTCTTCCTCTCTCTACAAAATTATCTAAATACATATCATGATCATCTGCAATTATTTAAGGCATGAATCTATGAATATTCTAATCTTTAATCTCTTCATCCTTAAAACCAATTGCTTACTAAAAAGATCTTGTGTATCTTAGTACATTTCCTCTAGGTTATAATAAAGTGATTTAAATCACACAACTACCAGGATCAAATATTGTTTTTTCAATAGATTACATAAATAATGTAACCAATTTTCCTTCTAAACGATATAATTTAGGTCTGCTCTTATTATATTATATATATTTAGAGAATAGATTATAAATGGTGTCACATTCATTAGATAATGGATTTATAGTAAATGCTTCCTATAATTGAGATTCAACAGTTTTAATATTACTCAAAATCTAAAATCCAATTGTTACCAACTAATCAATATCTATAATAGATGTTAAAATCAATCCATACCATTCCTAAAAATTATTTACAATTTTTAATTACCTTAAATTATTTTATAATTAAACACATATTCTATTTAATTATTGATAGAGATTCTTCATATTGATAGACTCTTTTAAATATATATTTTTAATTTTTTAAATCATTCTTTTTAACTAATTGATCAAATTCTTCTAATGCATCATATTTTAATTTATATATAATTGCTTATTCCTTTAATGCCATTCCCTTTATTAATAACAAATATATACTTATGTTTATATTGATAATCTAATAACTTCATATATTGCTTAAGTTGGTAATTTCTTGACTTATACTAAAAAGTATATATAAATCAATGCTAAATATGTATTTGAAGTTTCTATAATTTCATCTTCTAAAGTTTATGATATTAATTCTTTAGCAAATATTTTCATTTAAGTTATTGAATTAAATTAAAAGTTTTCTTTTTCTGAAAATTCTTCACAAAAACACTTGAATTTCATTTTTATCTATTTTTATAATTTTCTTTCTCTATTTAATGAACAATATCTCAAATGATTTGTAGTAAATGAGTACATAAATAATGATTCCATTGGATCTAATGATCTTTATTCTTTTTTTAGTCTAATTTATTTTTTAAATAAATGATATATAAATCTAATTTGTTTTTCTAATGAATTTCCTGTAGATTTTAATTATGATATCTTTTATCTTTCAGTTATAATTTTAAGAATATAAGCAATAAAAGGATAAAAAAACATTAAAAATCCCAAAACATTTAAACTTTTAAATACATCACTAAGTTGTACTACTAATAATGTTATTTAGTATATAAACAAATAGTTTGATATATGAAATTATAATCTAGATATTTGAACCTCTACATAAATAAGTTGATTGTAACTCATTATAATGTTCATAAATAAATATATCATATAAAAGACTTGAATTATTATAGAATTTATTTCTAATCCTATTAATATGACTATTGTTGTTTAAAATGCAAATATTAAATGAACTTTTTATTAATTAAATCTTCCTAAAAAATCTTGCTTTTTCATTTTAAATTCAAAACAATGTAAATCAATTATTAAACTAAAAATCAATTAAAGAGCTATTGAAAATATACTAATACTAGCACTAAATAGCAAGAACTAGTTAGGTGAATCTAATATAAATATTTAATACTTGACAATTGATAATAATTTAGAATGTGTAAATGGGAATACAATAAAGGAATCCTCATTAGCATATAATAAATTTGCATGTAAACTGAGATAAATTATTTTATTAAAATATTTTACTCTATTTATTTCTATCTATTCTAATTAAAATTAATAAATTAATACAATTTCAAGTGTCATCTCAATTATTTATCCATTTTTATTTGTTCTAACCGAAGTGTTTAAGATCAATATCAATAAAAAGATAAAGGTTAAAAAGGTCAATGTAAATCCAATTAACATGTATAAAATGTGCATCTCTATTTATTCTCCAAAGATGCTATATAATCTAAGAATATAAAACATTAAAACCGAAATATATTCAAAATCTAATGGATGAAGTCTAAATACTCAGCATTATTAATGATAGTTATTGATTGAGTAATTAAAGATAACAATTAGATGTTTTCGACAATCAAAAACATTATTGACAGTTCAAGAGACTTTCTCCATATTCCTTTAATAGTGAGAAATTGTTGAATGTAAAAGTCTTTTACTTGAAATATAAAATTTCTCATTATTCTCGATATTTGTAGGATAATTTAAAATATTTATATGATTAATAAATATTTTTGTATTCTTTACTTAAATAAATAAGAAATATCAAGTTTTTTAATTACTCTTACTTAATAATCCTTTTTATTTTGATATTAAACCATTTTTAATTTAACATTCCTAATTAAAATATATATATATAAATTATACATTGATTTTATATAAAATTATTATTACTATTAATATAATAATAAATTTCACAAATTATATTACTGATATTAAGGATTAATATTTTATTTAATCTTATTAATTTATTTAAATTATTTTATTAAATTTAAAGTATATAGAAGTGCATAATTTAGAAGGGTCAAAATGTTAATAATTCTATAAAAAAAAATTAATTGATAAATTAATAATACTATTTTTAAAATGCTGATTAATAAATAATTTAATTATATAATTAAGTATCAATAATATAATCAAAATTTGTGTCATATGACATATTATAAAAATACCATTAAAATACATTAAATGATGTCTCTAAGATAATATTTGCAATGTAGAAGGATCATTTGTTAGAGAAAAAAGAAGCCTTAGATGCATTAAACAATGCTAAATTTGGATGGTTCCATATTAAAGCATGTTTGGTTTCAGGAATAGGATTTTTCACAGATGCTTATGACTTATTCATAATTCAATTAGCTGTAATAATGATAGGAATGGTATATTATCATGATGAAGTACGTGATGGAGATACAATAATAAAAAAAGCTGATAAATTGTATCCTGTATCTGAAACATTATTAAAACAATCTGCTTTGATTGGAACATTAATTGGATAGTTATTATTTGGATACTTAGCAGATTTATTAGGAAGAAAGAAGATGTATGGAACTGAATTGTTAATCATAGTGTTTACTACAATCACTTCTGCATTTGCATCAAATACTGCTTCACCTAATGGATTGACTGTAGTAGGGATGCTTATCATTTGGAGGTTCTTTTTAGGTATTGGAATTGGAGGAGACTATCCTTTATCTGCAATTATAACTTCTGAATTTGCAAATACTAAAAATAGAGGAGCAATGATAGCAGCTGTATTTGCAATGTAAGGTTTTGGAATTTTGACAGGGAGTATAGTTTCATTATTAGTTCTACTCTCATTTAATAATCAATTAAATAATGGTGATCCATTTAATTATCTTTAAGTGGATCATATTTGGAGAATAATAGTAGCATTTGGAGCTGTTCCAGGTTTAGTGGCTATATATTTTAGAATGACCATTCCTGAAACACCAAGATTTACTATGGATATTAAAGGGGATGTTGAAAAAGGGACTAGAAATATTTAATAAGTTTTATAATAGGATGATACAACATTTGCTGATTCAAATTAAGAAGAGAAGAAATTTAAAGAATAGAAACCTTCATTTAGAGAATTAAAATAGTATTTATCTAAATGGAAAAATGGTAAAGTGTTATTAGGAACTGCTATGGCTTGGTTTGCATTAGATGTAGGATTTTATGGAATAAATTTAAATTAATCAACTATTTTAAAATAGATAGGATTTGGAGGAGGATCTAATCTTACTTAATATGAGATTTTGAAATAAGCAATTTATGGAAATCTGATTACATCAGCATTAGGAACTGTTCCAGGATATTGGTTAACAGTTCTTTTTGTTGATAAATGGGGAAGAAAGTCTATATAGATTATGGGATTTGTGGCATTAACTATTTTATTTTTAGTAATGGGTTTATGTAAAGACATATTGGGTCAATTTTTATTTATTACACTTTATACATTAGCCAATCTTTTTAATAATTTTGGTCCAAATGCTACTACATTTATTATACCTGGAGAAGTGTTTCCAACTAGATATCGTTCTACTTGTCATGGTATTTCTGCTGCAGCTGGTAAATTAGGAGCAATAATATCATAAGTTTGGTTTTTAGGATTAGGAGCAGACAATTTCAAAGCAATTATGCTAACATTTGCAATCTTTATGATGATTGGATTAGCATTTACATTTCTAATACCAGAAACAAAAGGAAAAAGTTTGGAAGAAATTAGTTAAGGACAAGAATAAAGTAATTAAATTATACCTCGGTGATTTATTAAGAATAATTAAATTATATTAATAAATCTATCTAATTGATAATGAAAAAAATCAATAATCTCAGATCATTTATAAATTATATCACCTTCTTTTAATTCATTATAATTAACTCATAACATAATATGGCTTATTATAAAAAAATACTACAATTAAATATGTCAATAATTTCAAAATATTAAAATTTTTATCCATTCTAAATGATATTCAATTACCTTAAATCAATGTTAAATTTGATAAAACTTAAATAAATAGTAATATTTTTGATAAGTATATAATTTTCATATTCTTATAGGTTTATTATTATTTATAAATCTATTGTATTTTTTAAATAACTTAAAATTAACATCTATTAATTAACATAACTAATTTTTTAATCTCTGCATTAATTTAAACTATTATTGTATAGATATTTATTAACTTGAATAGAATTCATATATCTTGTTTCATTAATATTGATATTTATTTCATAGTTTTTAATGAATTTAAAATAATTCTCATTCTACTATTAAATTAAGTTATGCTAAGGTCTCATTTCCTTATTTTAATGTACCAAATAAATTGTCTTTAGCTCTAATTGGACCCACTCCATGGGGTGTACCAGTCAATACTAAATCTCCTGGTCTTAAAGTCATAAATTATGATATGTAGGCCAATAGATCTGGAATTTTGTAATACATTGAAGAAGTAGAATCATTTTAAACTACTTTTTAATTTATTTTCAATTCTAATTAAAGATTATTTGGATCCTTCACTTTTTCTTTTGTAATTAAATCTGTAAGTGGGAAAAAATTGTCTTAACCCTTTGCTAAATCCCATGGAAATCCTTACTTTTTGAAATGAGCTTACATTTCTCTATCAGTTAAATCCAATGCCAAAAAATAACCTCCTATATATTCTTACCATTTATCCTTTTATATATTCTTTCCATTCTTAGCTACCATAAATCCAAGCTATTAAATATATATAGAAATACTTCAATTTCATGATGAATTTCATGATTATGTTTAGGTAATTAAAGTATACCATTTCCATCTGGTAAGTATAATAAAGATGTAAATGGTTTTTAGAATATAACTGGTTCTTTTGGTGGTTCATCACCACCCATTTCTTTAACATGTTTAACATAATTTTTAGCAATGGCTACTATTTTAGGATTATTTGGATTGACAACTTATTTAAAAAGAAGATTCATATTTTTTTACTATATGATTAATAATTAATAAATAAATATTCATTAATAAGTAATTTGATTAAGTTCATTTAGTACTTTATCTGCTGTCCATCTTCTTTCTGCATTCTTATCTAGACATGACAATAAAATTCTTTATAAAGGTCCAGAAATAGAATTCGATATTTTATTATTCTTTGGAAATTCTCCAACTAATAATTAATGCAATACAATTCCACATGCCCATATATCTGTAGCAAATGGATTGTATGGTTATTTGATTAACAATTCAGGTGCCATATAATTTGGAGTTCCACATTAAACAGAACATAATTTATCTGTTTAAATTGCAAATCCAAAATCAATCAAAACTATTTGTTAACTATATAGAATGTTTTCCAATTTGATATCTCTATGTGATATACACTTTGAATGTAAATATTGAACAGCCATCATCAACTACTTGAATATAATTTTAATTTATTATTCTGATAACTACCTATCTTTAGTAAATTCAGCTAATGATACAGATGAAGCATAATTGAGTAGAAGGTAAATCTAAATATAATAATTAAGTACATATTTATCATCCTCTAAAGAATTATGTATTTTAACGATATTTTGATGTTCCAACTATTTCAATATAGCAATCTCTCTATGAATACCATTTAAGGTTTTCTGATCTAATTTACTCTTTTAATATATTTTCATAGCATAACGTTGTCCATTATCTTTAGATCGACAAATTCGAACTTAAGCAAATTAACCTTATCCAATCTGAGCTTCTAATTTATAATCATTAAGTAAAGATGGTTATGGATTCTGATTATTTGGTTAAGCCTTGTTTTTTAATAGTCTTGTTATATTAGAGAGTGTTTATGTTGGAACAGAATTGTTTTCTTTAGCAGATTTTAAAATCATTAATATTAACAGTAAATGGAGACCAATCAACAATCTTCGATCTTTTAATACATTTTGATTATATCATTGTGTATTGTTTTTTTGATGTATTTGAAAAGGAGAATGTCATCAACTGGTGAATCAATATAAGTATGGTTATGATTCGGCTACTTAAAGGATAGAATATGGAGAAAAATCGTGTTTGCTTATTAGGATATGTTACACACTTTTGATTAGGCTGAGAAAGAACTACTTAAGCATACATACCATAACACAATCTTTAATAGCAAAGGTGTTAATGTCTCAAATGATACACGTAAAGAAAGTAAGAAGAAAAGCTCCAATGTATAATTCAATTTGAACAAAAACGAAACTCTATATTATTGATAAAAATAATATATAAAGTAACTATTAGATAATGCTCCCATTTCTTATAAGGGATCATAATCAAATGTTTCAATTCACAATTTATCAAAAAACCATAGTCATACTACCAGCATTTAATAGATATAGGTTATCATAGATAATCAATGTTCTATTCTTCTAATGATCGACTTATCTAAAATATTCTTTGAGTTCAATATTGAAAATCTCATTAAAATTCAGAAATGAAAAACTATAACAGATAAATAGTACAATTCATTTTTAAAGAATGATTAATATAGATATTATCTCTTTGAGGTATTTTCAACTTTGAAAAAAATATGATTTATTATTGATATATATATATAAAAATATATAATAATAAATATGCGTAAAAATATAAGATTATCAACAGATTCAGAAAGAAAAAGGATTGCATCAAATATCTCAATAAAATCAATAAATTCTACTACAATTAATACAATAAATACAACAACTGATGGTACTCTTCCTCGTTTAGAATCTAATTACTTCATAAAAAGTAGAATTAAAAGAAGTACTCATTAAATTCGATTTAAACGATCTCCTATGAAAATGTCATAACCTAATAATATGCTTGAAAGTCAATCCATTAAATAATCTACTAAAATATTACTTAACTCTGTTGTCTTTGAACTTGATAAATTGGCTATAGCAGCTAAACATAATTCAACAAAAGCTCAAGATATACTTAATCTTTCAATAGATTTAATGAATATGTTAGGATCTGATTATGATCGACTTGAAATATATCTAATAGTTCTCTAAAATAAATGTAAATCACAGTGTGTTTCTTTAGGATTAATGTTTACTTTTCTTATAGCAATAATTCAAGAAACTTATGGACACAATAGAGGTTCTTTACAATAATATAAATATATGAATGATATAGCAAATAAACATTAATTATTTTAATGTAAAATGATGGTGTATTATAGAATTGGATTACTTTTAAATAGATTGAAATAATTTGAAAAATTATTAGTAATAGGTAAGAAATTATTAAAGCTAAGTTGGTATTATTCAGAAGAAGAATATGAATCGAAAGCATATTATTTAATTTCAAAAGGATATAATGGAATTTAAGATATGGAAATGTCTGTAATATTTATGAATAGATATCTTGATGGAATTTTGTAATAGAATGATCATATAAAAAATATAGGAATATAATAAATTGCATTGTATCATAGAAGAACTTAGGAATCTAGACATAAAAGTCCTTCATCAGATGATTTTAATTTAGAAATGTTTAGGTAAAAGATTGAAAGGAATTATATCAAAATGAAAATGATAGGTGGAAAATTAGCATTTAAATTGTAATCATCTGAATGTGATATTTGTGCTTAATATGGTAAGAATTGTGAAAGAATCTAAACTGAAGATGAACATCCATACAAAAAGAATATGATTTTACATACTGATAGTAGAAATAGAGATTTAATTGGGTATTTTGATTCAGAATAAATCTAATAGATGTATATTCCATCAAAAACACTGCCAATTCTAAAATAATTAATATTAAAATTCATTTCATATATATGAAACAAACAAATTAATTAAATGATAGTATGTATTAAGCCTACTTTCTTGGACATATGAATGCATTAAAAGCAATTAAAAGTAGAAAGAATCAAAAAATACAAGAATCAAAAGTTTTAGTCAAATTATGTAATCATTTTTATCAATATATAGCATAATCTATGAAACTGTATAAATAAAGGGTAAATCACTTTGAACAAATACAATATAAATAATAATTGGCAATTTCTAATCAAAAAATTAAACAAACTATTGAGAAAATTCATTAAAGTAGTCCTTCTATTGATAAAACAAGTGTTTCTTTACCAAGATTAAAGAAAAGAAATCAAGAGGGAGATGAAATCAAAAAAGAGAATGCAAGAATAAAATTGAAACTTGAAAATTTGAAGGGAAGTATTAGTAATAGATAATCTAAACATGAGAAACCAAAACGATATGAAGATGTATTATAAGAATATTTTAAATAAAAATTATAACAATAATGAACATCGTATCTGAGGAAGACTCTTTTGTCACTTAACATTATGAAGAAATATATAGATAAATAAGAGACATGAAATTATGTGAAAGATTGTGCAGGTATTAATCTATAAAAATCAGGTCTTAAATCAATTGAGGAGAAACAAATGGATTTATTGCAATTTTTAAATCTCTATAAATAATTGAAAATATCATTACAAATTCATTTACTTGTAATTCATAATCCTAAAGAATTGATTGTAATATATTCTTGTAATAATATAGAATATAAGTAAATTACATAAAGAAGTATTTGGAGACACATAGTTGCAACATCTAAATATAGTACTAAAGTCTTTAAATCTTTGTCCAGTAGTCTTTGACATAAACATTAATGAATTAATAAGTCATGCTAAAGTATAATCAAGAATAAGTAGAGTTTGTCAATATATTAAAAACATAATTTGTTGCAAACTTTGAATATATTTTAATTATATTTAAATTTTAAATTTGGTGCCATTTCATGAGTATTGATCTCTCATTTAAGAATCTAGAAATGCTAGATTAGTCCTTGAATCTAAATAATTATGTAATTATATTATTATATTATAATATAGACAATAATAAATTTATAGGGTAACAATTTTAAGGGTGAATAAACATATATTCAATAACTTAAAGTTTAACATCTTAACTTATCATTCAATAATATAGAATAGATGTGGTTATTACCTTCTTCCCTTATAACATTGGAAATCAATAATAATTTGCTATAAAATTTATCAAGTATTCAATAAAGAATAATATTATTAGATATCTCTCATCTCAAAAATTTGAAATAGATTGATTTATCCAATAATTTATTACAAAGTGTTCATTGGTTTAGTAATTTGACCCAATTAACTCATTTATTTCTAAAAAATAATAAAGTAAAAAAAAGATAAGTATATAATAGATTAAAACAATTGAATAACTTAAGAATTTACCATAATTGATAGAAGTTGATTTAGAATGTAATGAATTGAAAAATGTAGCTGAAGTGCATTATCTAGAAACATAAACAAAAATAAATATAATAAATTTATTTGGTAATCCTGTATTTGAAGGATTGCAATTAAAAATATTAAATGTAGTTGAAAGTATATTATTTAATTAATAAATAATTAGAAAATTGTCATTGTAGATCAGAATAAATATATAATCAATCAGAAATATGTAAAAAGAGAAATTAATAAATTGATGATATTGATTTATTTGATGAATAGGCAAGTGAAAAATAATCTGATCTTTAACCTTAAACAATGACTTAAAAAAAATATACAAAATCTCTATCTCCTTTGAATAAATAATTACCATAATTTTATGATCCTAAGTCTAGTAAATATGTTACTTTTCATGATGTATTAAGATAAAAGTAACGTAATATCACTAATACTAATTATGATGTAAAATAATAAAATGTTACAACTACAAATACTAATACTACTATTAATAATAGATAAACTATGGATTAATTAAAATAATAAAATGAAAACTTAAAAAAAGATTATATGAAATTAAAATAAAAGTTTGAATAATCATAGAAATAAAATTAGAGTTTTTTTCAAGAAATTGAGAGTTATAAAGAATAATTAAATGGATTATTATTATAATTCAATATACCAATTTAAGAAGAGGAATCATCAGTTAGATCTTTATTAGATTAATTAGAATTAGGTTTAATGACTTTTATTAAAGATATGAGAAAATAAAATATAGAATAAATAAATAGTATGATGACAAGAATGGGAAATAAAGTTAAAGTAATGAGTAGTTAAATTGAAATTACTACTTTAAAAAAATGTTGTGAATATACTGAGAAAATAAAAAATATTGAATTAGCATTATCTAAATTAGCTGATGTAGTTGTTGAATAGTAATATCTAATAATATTATTTTTTTTAGAAAACAATAAATAATAAAACTATAAAGACAAAGAGTTCATTCACCATTATAGAGATAATGTTTAACTACAAGAGTTCATGGTAAAAATCCTAGTGAACTTGATTAAATGAAATTGAAAACATTATTCTTTAAATCTCCCAATGTTCAATAATTAGATAAACCTCTCAAAACTTAAGGATCTTAAAGTACTAGTTTGTCACAATAAATGTTAGAAACTTAATAAAAATAAAAGATTTATAAGAAATGAAATATTTAATAGTTTATATTTATCATTGTATTGGATTCATACCTGAAATAAAGCTTCCATAACTAACTCTTGATTCTTTTTTAGTATATATTGATATTAGAGATTCTATTTCTTAGTTTGTAATTTATATATTGTAAGATTCAAATACTTCTCTAAATTCATCTATAGTTATTGTTCCAACTTTCAATTTATCAAAAAATAAAAAGGCTAATTCTAAACTAAATTCAGAATTTTCTGCTAATCTCTCTTTAACTAATTATATTTTTTCTTCAGTTAAAAGTATTTATGCAATCAATTCTTTAAATTTTGTCATTGTTTTATTACTTATTTTAGTTACTATTCTAACAAGAGGATCATTACTACATGAAATTACATTAACGAATTCTTAATATGTAAGAAATGAATTATCTTCTGAAAATCTCTAAAACAATAAATTAATTTATTATTTCTTAACTTTTATACCTAATGACATACAACCAAGTTCAAAATCTAATCTAGTTATCTTTTTCTAATTAAAAGTATCAAAAAATGAATAAAATTGATTCAAATCAAAATCATCATGTTATTCTAATTGTATTTTTCTTTCTTCTAATTGTTTATTTAAATACATCATTTCATATAAAGCATTAACTAACTTTGCTTCTTAGTTTTATTTTAAAACAATTACTTTGCTGTTATTTTATTACATAATTATTTATTCATAATTATTGTTTTAAATAATAAATAACACTTTCAGTTGGTTATATTCTTCTTATTATAACATTTATTCTTATATATAGTTACATCTCTTATGAAATATATTTTAAATTATGATTATGTGAGTAGAAGTTATTAAATTTAAGAAACTATGATTATATCGTTAATTATTTTAAAATTATGTCACTCAACGATTGGAAAAATGAAAAAGCTATGCTTGAATAAAGAAATCAATTTCTATATATGTAAATTCAAGAAATTAAAGAAAGAGAAGAACATTAGAAGAAATTTAATGATACTATTATGCAAGCATGGAGTTAAGGAGATGGAAGAACCAATGTAATTAGATTAAATTAATTATACTTTAGTGTAAAGTATATAAAGAAATCTAAAGTACTTTAGAAGAGTATTCAAGAGAACTAATTGAAGCTAAAAAGAAGAGCTCTATTGCAATGATGAAATTAGAAAATGAAAATACCGAACTCAAATATTAAATCTAATAATTAGAATCCATTTATCAATAAAAAAACTAATTACATTAAGTGAAGGTAATGGAGTTAAAAAAAAGAATTGAATGTTAAAATAATAAAGAAAATGTTGGAGATAATTAATTTGGTTGTATTGTAAGTGTTAAAAGTAGAACTTGTAGTTAGAATACAAGTAGAGAAATTAATAAATAAAGATCTAAAACATAAAATAAACCTGAATTATTAAATTGTCGTAATTCTAATGTAATGGAAATTAATACTGATTTCTTAAAAGATTATAGTATGTAAATAGAAAGTGTTTCACCTTAAGAAAGATAAAATTTAGCTATTTAATTGAAATAATTAACTAAAGAATTAAAAACTACAAAAGTAATATATTAATATATATTTAACTTAGAATGAAATTGAAAATACCAATTTATAAACAGCAAATGAATTGAAAACTGAAATTAAATCTATGTTAAATAAGTTATTAAAAGCCAAAGGAAAGATGACTGAAAGTATTGTAGGAAGTGGAAAAGAATCAGTTCTTATGTTAAGAGGAAGTTAATATAAACCAACATTAGCAGATTTTGCTAAATAATTAAATGCTGTTAGATCTATAGAAACCTTTAATATTTTGAATCCAGGAAAAGTCACAAACAATTATTGATTAGTTAATTATATATATATATATAAAAACACCAAAAAAATGTGAAAAAAATAGATATCATCTGTATCATTATTTTTAACGCTTAAATGATAATTTAGTAACTTACTTAAATTAATTGGTGAATTCTTGATAATTCACTTTAAGGCACTATTACTGGTTTAAGTTTCTTATCCTTTAATTATATATATATTATTAGAACCTTTTAATTCATCACACTTGAAAATTAAAAATGCTAAACCAACGCTTAACGTCCTTATATTCTTGCATATCTTAATTCACAAATCTATATTTAATAATATAATAAATCTACTTTTTCACTATTGAAATGAGGCCATCCATTATCATGAAAATCCTTATAAAATTATATTATGTAAAAAGGATGCACAAAATTTATAAATGCATAACCCATATTACACTTATTCTATATTTATAATTATCTTATTTTAATACCTTAAAATCTATTGGAAGATATAAAAAATCATAATAATTTCTGTGACTATGATCAATTAAATCTTAAAGCATTTACACTGTATATTTATTAGGAATATTTTTTATCATTATTGTAGTTCTTTCATCTGTTTAATTCATTACTTTGTCAATCCTTACTACAAAATAATAGGATTCTTCTTCTGATATGGTTTTTCTCTTCCTTCTTTCTGTTTCAGAACCACTTGTTAACAATGATTAACAAGATGATCCCAATTACAAACAAGGTTCATTTGAAATTTCTGTTGATAGATTTGAACTCACTTTTTAGTCAAATGATTTATTTTTAAAAACTTCAGAAATCTATTCCATCATTTAGTCTTATGACAAATTATCTTATTTTGCATATAATATTACTTTAGGTTCTATTGATATTTCATGTATAATGGCATTACCTGTAAACATTTATATGGCCCTGTCTATTTTATCACTATTAGATTTGCTCTCTTAACTTTATTTACTTTCATTTGATTAGTTCATCGTCGCTTTGTCAATGTCATCAAATAATTCTTATGAACTATGATCTTTTTATTTTGTCAAGATTTCATTTAAATCTCGATGATTTCTAATGCATTTCAGAATCTGTTCCTAATTTAAACGAGACTGTTTGTCCATTTATTATAATAATTTTTATTTTCTTCTTATACTTATTCTCAACATATCAATATAATGTACTTTGAACTTTTACAAGAACATAAAATAATTGAATAGCTATTAAGCAAACATAATTCAATAATAATCAAACACACATAGTAGTTTTAAAAAAATACTTAATTTTATTCACTGAGTTAATCATAATGACCTATTGTAAAATGGGATAATCATTCATTCTACTTCTCTTAGATTGTAGTTTTAAATGAAATAAAAGATTCCTTCAATGAGATTTTAATTCAATTTTAAAGTTTAATTCGAAATGGAAGTTGAATAAAAGAAAAGACATAACTTTCCCATTATAATATTGTTCTTTCATTCAAATTTTACTTTACTTTTTGATTTTAAGGTTATAATAATAATCCTGCTTAATAATTAATTGAAAAAAATATTATCATGTAAAATGGATAATAAATTATTTCAAGTGAATTCTTAATTTATTTATTAATAATACAAAATAAATCTTAACCATTTTTATTGTAAAAATTCAAATTAATGCTTAGAGAATTTTAAACAAAAAAATATTATTAATTAATTAAATAATTTTGTATTTTTCAGCTTTTTTACTAAAAATACTATTTATAAAATATAATATCAAAATTGGTTTTGTTAATTATAAACTTAAAGTATAAAGAAGATAAGAAGTCATAACTGTTAGAAAAACAGTATAAAAGTATTTGTAATAACTTTGAGGAGAGATTACATTTTCTTTTTTATTTTGCTTACTAAAATAAATAAAAAATGGAATTAGTATTCTTTTTCAATCTGAAATAGATAGAAGAACTATAAATATATTTGATTAATATTAAAACATTTAATTCTAATCAAAAATATTAAGCTTGTAAAAATGATAATATTTAGGTGAAATCCCCTAGATTATTGTCTCTCTTATTATTAAAAAAGGATAAACTTTAGAAAATTGATCCTACATATTAGTTAACACTTTTAATCATTGAAATTATCTGTTAATACACTTGATAATTAAATAAACTAAAATAATGAATAAAATTAGATATTTCAAAAAGAATTTATGTTTATTTAATTGAAGAATGTTTATAAAAATGACATTAAAAATATTTAAAAAATAAAGAAATCTTTTTAAGTATGTAGGCAATTAAAAAAAAAATGAATAGTAATTAAATAATATTTTGATTAATTATTGTCTTCAATTTTCAAATAAGAAGATTAATTTAATAAAATTTTAAGAAATAAAGTAAATAATATTATAATAATTAGATTTTAGGTTTTTTTGTTTTGATATTTTTGATTAAACAATGTTTTTATTATTAATATTAAAATTTAACCGACATGAGTGGTTACAAACAATATGATGATGTTGAACCTTATAGACAAAGAATTCGAGATCTTGAAGCTTAATTATAGAGAATGGACGTTAGATTTAGTAATGTTCTTACTCATGCTGGGAAAGGAGATACATAATTTAATAACGATTTGCATGTAGAATTAGAGAAAATGACAAAATAAATGATATAAAAGAGAAGTGAAGCTGAATTATGGAAATAAAAATATGAATAATAATTATCATCAACTATGTAGATGAGAAATAATTATGAATTAGAATTATAATAATTATCAAAGGAAGTTTAGAGGTTGCTTGATAAGATAGATTAATTTGAATATGAGAAAAGATTGAATGATAAATAATTAGTTAGAGAAACATTATAAGATAAGGATTTAGAAATAGATGATTTAGTGAGTAAATTACAGAGAATGAGATTAGAACATGAAAATGAATCATAAAGACTTTTAAATGAGAATGATAATTTAAGACATAAGATAAATCAAATTGAATTGGATAGATAAAAGTATGATATTATATATATTATTTAATAGAGAATTAGAACAGATGAGATTTAAGATAGAGACATTTCATTCATAAAATTTAGATAATTTAAGAAAAACTCATTAGAGTTAAATATCAGTTGTTGAATCAGAAATTGATAAATTAAGAGGATTGTTGGAAATTAAAAATAATGAAATTGAAACATTACTTTAATAAAATATGAAATTAAAAGCTTCATATGAAAATTAAATTAATGAATTAAATGCTTAATTTGATGGTTAAAAATCAAAGTATTAAAAATAAGAAATAATTCATCGAGATTAATTAAATTAATTATAATAGTAATTGTTGGATGAATAAAAATTTAGTATGTAATCTTTAAGCAAGAATTATGAATAAAGTATATTTACTTTAGAAAAAGAAATTGTAAATCATTAAAAGAAAAATGATAATTTATCAAAAGAAATCTAAGAATTAATAAATGAAAAAACATAATTAGAGAGACAATGTGAATTATTAAGAAAAGATAATGAAATTTTGAAATAAAGATTGACATAAATAGAATAAATAAAGTAAAAGGATTTATAATATATGGAATCAGAATTATTATAAACAAAATAATCATAAATAGAAGTTGAAAATGTTTATAAGCAATAAGTGGTTAAATTAGAAAATGAATTATAAATCTAAACAGAAAAAGAGATAGTAAAAAATAAAGAAGTAGAAACTCAAATCTAATAATTTATTTTAATAAAATAAGCTTTGGAAGAAGATCTATAACATTTAAGATAATAAAATTTAACTTTAAATGAACAAATAAAAGAATTAGAAAAAATAGCAACATTCGAATAAGAAGAATGGAAAGTCAAATTGCAATAAAATGAGTATATGTTAAAAGATAAAATTCGTAATCTTGAAAACAAAGTTGATTTATTAAATTAAGAATTGAGAAAATAAAAAGAATTAACTGATTCTTAAATAAGATAGATTCCAGAAAGAGAATTTAAAGCTTTAATTGAAGAAATTGAATAATTAAAAACAAGATAAGTGTTGTAAGAAAGAGATAAATTAAAAGAACGAGAAGATTTAAGAACAAAACTTGAATAATCACATCATTATCAAATAGAAAATTTAAAAGCAGCCTTTAATACTTAAATCAGAATTCTTGAATAAGAAAACAAGGATTCTAAAAATATTATAACACAAAAAGAGAATACAATTTAAGAATTATTGCATAAATATTAGAATTTAGAATCTGCATATAGTGGATAAACTATTGGACCATAAGAATAAGCATCCAAAAATATTTATTAAGCATATATTCGTTCATCAAATAGACAATCATCATTACGTAAATAATAATGAATTATACTATCTTATATATATAAATAAATATTATTTGTTTATCTACATGTAAAAAAATGAATTTTCAAGTGTGTTTTTGAGAAAAGTTAGGGAGATATGAGAATGGAAATATTCTTAGAGAAAAAGCCATTAAAACAATTTAAATTATATGAATTGACTGAGAATGAATTGAATATCAATTTAGATTAAGTTACACAATGGTAATTAATAGGTGAAAATGTATGTCTCCAGATTATTAAAAGATTTATTAAAAACATATCTTAGAATGGATTTGCTGATTTTATTTGCAATAAAGAATACATGATTGAAATATTCAGTAGAGGCCTGTAAAAAGATTTCTAATTTAAAAATACTATCTCTTATGGTAATCCTTTAGTTTTAATGTCTGAACATTGGTTTCCTTTAGATAATAAATAGGAATTAGTATAAGCTAAGATGGAAATGATTTAAAAAGAAAAAGATGAAGAATTGGAAGAGAAAAAGGCATAATAAGCTTTTATGATTAAAAAAAAGAATAAAGTAAAGGGAAAGGGAAAGATTTAAAAAAAGGATGATAAAAAAAATGTTAAGAAAGGAGAAGATGAACCTGTTTAAAAAGTAGTAGGATAATTAGATTGGGAAGGTGATATCAGATAATATATATTTGTAAATGAAAAGAAAATTCATAGAGCAACTTAAATGTTATTAGCAATTTCATTGGATTTAGGATATAGATTTTCTTTTTCTTAAATAAAATTTCAAAGTCTAATTAAATTTTAAATTTAACAATAAAAATTGTATGTATTAATTTCTACAACATTATTTACAAAAACAAGTTAACAAAATTTTATAATCATTCCATACTTCCCTTTCTAGTTTATGCTGTATTCTTGAATAGAGGAATAACAATTTTAGGGCCTTCATGGAATTTCAAGCATGTAGCTACCTCTTTCATTTTCTCTTAATATATTTTCTCAGCTAAGTATCTAATGATATAAAATTTATAAATATATTTACATATGCAAACAACATGTTCTAGGCTAAGATTTCTTTGAATTTTATTTATGATCTTCAATTAAATTCAAATACACTTATTTCTATGCATTTCTAAGTATTTGTTATTTTAATTTAAGATCCCTTAATCGTAAAAATTAAATTTACCTGAGAATTATATGCACATTAGAAATATAAGGTTCAACTTGAGAATTTTCTAAATTTTTTGTTTAATGTCTCATAGGTTTAACTAATTTCTCGGCTTAATTTTTATTGTAAGAGATGATTTCTGAAACATTTTGATCTGGATTTTCTGGCATTCTAAACGTGATTTGATTTGTTTCTTTATTAAATTATAGAAATCTTTATACTTCTTCGCGCTTTTGCTTATTTTAAGAATCTAGCAGTTCTACTCTCTTTTGACTTTTTAGCATAATCTAAACTTGTATTTAATATATAATTACATTCATTAATATCTTAGACTAAATGGTAAAAGCTGGTAACAAATTCTTAATATTCTGAATCGCTTTCTTCAGAACTCATATATTTTAATTAATTTAATATAGTTAATAAATATGAATATGATTTACTAATCTTTTTTTCAACATTTAATAATAATATCCTTTTTTTACAATGCTTATTTTTAACTATTTTTATATTATATTATTCATCATCAAAAACTTAAAATTTTAAACAATATCTTTATAAATAAAAATTTATCTATTTAATTGAATAAATAATGTATAAAAAAAGTACTCATATTTCATTACTTGACTTCCAAGATATAAAAATATAACATGAAAAGAAATCCTTTTTTATAGAATTGAAAGAATATTAAAATTAACAGATAAATTTTTTTAAAAATCTCTATTTATCTTAAAATAAATAAATTATTATGATCATATTTTGTTTGTTTTCTACTTTTTGATGATAAATATTATTCTTATAAATTTGATTAGGTTATATCATTACTTTAGTTTTAAAACTACTTAATTATTCAAGTTAGAATGATAGAAATCATAGAAATATTTTCAAACATTCCCAATTAAGCATTTAGTATCTTCTAAATACATGAAAAATCTTATTTCTTTTCTAAAATTATATCTTCATCAAATTATATTTCCTTATTTAACTAAACACTATAATAAAGAATTTCATTTTAAAATCTTTTTGACTAATATTTTCATAAATATCCTTATGCATTTAAGTTTTTAACCTTTTTAATTATTTAATTTCTCTAAAAATTGATGTTTTTCCATATTATAATACACTAATTCCATTAATTTTTAGCTATTTTATATTTGATGATGATATTGTTTGATATACTTATTAATTTATTAAAGACTTTTATTTAATTTAGTTAGATTAGTATTTTGTATTTCTTTTCCTTTAATAAGATCAATATAAAATTATTCATTTTAAATGATAAATTAAATTATTTAATGGAATTAGAAAAAACATTACATAGAGTCTAAGAACGAATTTTGACTCATTAACATGCATCTTAAATTATGAATTTTTGCAGTAAGATTTTATTGAGCATGGCATCAATTAGCTTACTTATAATCTGGGGGTTGAGTAATAGAACAATTAATTAAATATCATTTGATCAAGAGTCTAAAGATAATATCTATCATTTCTCAATAATAGATGAAGATAACACAATGCTAATGATGAAATATGCAAAAACTTAAGAATTATTACATTTAAAAACAGAATTGCTTCAATAACACAATTTCACAATAATAAACATTTCTATAGATTATAATAACTACTTTGATAGTAATTTATAAAAACTACTTTCTTTAACTACAAATCTAGAAACTTTATTCTTACATGATATTGCATACTCAATATAATCAGATATTTATGTTAAAAATAATGCAACAAATTAAACATATATTTGGAAAGAAAAAAGAGCTCCTTAGAATTAATTAGGGAAAATAATTTAGCATTTATGGGAATTTTCAGTTATTACTTTTGGGTTGTTCATTTCTTCTGCTATTTCATCACTCTATATAAAAATCACTATTATTTGTGCTCCAGTCATCATAATCATAATGCGTAATAAATATTTATATGATAAATTTTAGTTGAAGTATCCTATCTCTTTGGAAATAGATAAATATTCCCAATATTTTTAGCACGTGCATTCCCTTGGATAGGATTATATTTAAATATCCTTGATAGAACATAAAGATCAAAGAAATAACTAATTATAGCTTTTGCTTTAATGTTATTTTTAATTTATTTTATCTATCTATCCTCAGTAATTATAGGAGGCTTTTTATTATTTAAAAGTCAGGTTCCCTTTGGTTTAGAAGACAACTTTTTTGGGTATCCTTTTATATACAATTCTAAAGTTTAGTTACTGTAAATGAGTTTGCCTCATTATTGTTTTTGAGAACTAGATCTTCTTTGTATTTTGTACCAAAATTCACCATTATATATTATTACATATTCCTTTGGTATGTTCAATCTACAAGTAAAAATTTGATAATTAATATTAGATTATGGTTTCTATTCATTAGCAATGCTTACATTATCATATGTATGTTTAGGAACATTTTGTCTATTCATTTATCTTTATGAAATTCCTAGTTTAGGATGGAATCCACTTTCATATTATACACCAACTATTGATAGACCACGCTGCTATTATTTACCAGTATTTTCATTGAATTGGGTTAATGATTTACCATAGTTATGGTCAATGTTTTATCCACTGCATGGAAGAAGGTATATCTTTATTAAATTAATAGATATTTTCAAATTTAAAATTTAGCATTAGTAGATAGAAACTTTCCACTTCTCAACAATCTCTTAGATATTGAAATGTAAGAATAATAATGATTTATATAATATTCAATTATAGGCTACTTATTTTTTCACATCCAAAAATTCTACGCTCATTGGTAGTGAAAAGACTACCTACTTTCTTTACTTATAGCGTTCATAATTTTTCTCAAATTCTCTTGAAATGTCTTTGATTTCTTAAAGCAATTGAACCACTTCTTAAATCTATTAAGAATGATTTGCTATAGATATATCTCTTTAATCTATTTATTCTATTATCAAGGTCCCATTCTGTTTATATTCTTAATAATATTTTTTTATTTTTTCTATTGTCAATTACTTTAATGGTTTGATCCCTCCTAAAGATATATGTGGTGATAGAATTTCAGAAAAGATTGATTGTAAACTACATTCTACAATTGCCAAAGCAATCTCACTTTCCTTATAAGTAAATATTGTAAAACCCTATAGAGATTTTAAAAAATATTCTTCAATTTTCTTTTCACATCTAATGAATAGAGATTATTCTAAAAGATCTTTTATTTGATAAATAAAGATTGCTGATTGAATAATAGGATAAATCGGCTTTACATCAATATCATAGCCTAAAGCTTGTACTATCAAAATTTCATATTTAGCATAAAACTCATCTCCATAATGATGAAAACGTTCATGTTTTGGTTTCTTTTTTAATTATTATGCTTGAATAGCAATTGATTATTAAGAAAGCTAAAATGAATTATTATATTACTCCATTTAATTTCATTCCTAAATAACTACAAAATAATAGCATTTAATGCATTCCAGATTATTCAAATATTGTTTTTATCATATAATATCGTTTAAATAGTACTGCAGCATAAGAAATTAAAGTTAATTATTAATTTTTTTCATTCTTAAATAAAGTTGGCAGTAAATTACAGCAATAATGATTTATGATATTCATTTCTTCATTTTATGTGTAACCTTCTGGTAATTGTTGTTAACGATAATGAACAAAATCAGCTATTTAACTTTTTGTAAATCTCCACATTAAAATTTAGCACTATATTATTTATTTCTATAAAATTTATTTTTGTTTTAAAAATTTCTATGTTTTCATAATTACTCAATTATATTATTGAATTTAAATATCTATGTTTTATTTTAACTCAAAAATGTTAATAAGACAGTCTTGCATTTTGTTTTATAAGTTACTAAAAATACCAAAATACTAAAATAATAGTAATAATAATAATAATAATAATAGTAATAATAATAATAATAATAATAATAATAGTAATAATAATAATAATAATAATAATAATAATAATAATAATAAATTAAAGGCTGTGATATAAAAGAGAATTAAGACTATAAATATCGTTGTCGGCCATACTAAGCCTAAAGCACCGGATCCCATTCGAACTCCGAAGTTAAGCGGCTTAAGGCGAGGTTAGTACTAAGGTGGGGGACCGCTTGGGAAGTCCTCGTGTTGACAACCCTTTTTTTTATTAATTAATTAAAATTTATTTAATTTCAAGAAAACAATCAACAATGATTAAAAATTTTTTGTGTTATAACATTATTATATATTAAAATTTGAAGATGTTTCAACCCAATCAAAGTTAAATTAAGTACAACAATTAATTTGGTGCCACCTCTGCAGTGTATTTCTCACAACAACAAACATCAAGAGACAAAGTATAAAATTGCGAAACATCATGTAGACAATATAGACAAGAGAAGGCTCTGAAAATAAATAATTGCTTTAATATCCAGTTTCTCAAATAGTCTATGGTCCATCAATGAAATTCAATTCACCAGTGCATAGCAATATTGCGTTTCGCAAAACATCTAAAGAATTAAATATTACTATAGAAGATCCTTTAGTGAGTTAATAAGTACGTTAGCCATCTCCGAATGTCAAAAAATAAAGGGAATAGATGGAAAAGGATTGGAATAAATTAATTGACAAATCTAAGACTCTATAAGAAAATTTAGTATTGCTAAAAAACAATATCAGTATGAACTTAAACAAAAAATAACCTGATCAACGTTTAACTAAAGAATCAACAATTACAAATGCTGGTTTATCATCAAGGATGAAATTACAGAAAGTAAATGTTACTTGTAAACTAAATTCTCCATTCAAAGCTTAACCTAAATTAGAAGTTTGTAAGAGTTTGAGCCATAATGCATTTGGTAATCTCAAATTTGGTTCAAATGTTAATAAAAATCCAACACTAATAAACAATACTAGTTCTATAAATTATGTTAATATGAACAATAATTATGCTAAAAAGTTATTAGATGAACTTTAATCATAAAAAGTGAATACTTAAAATAAAATAATAAAATAAACCAATCCTCTCTATATTTAAATAGAAAATAAATTGAAATTAAAAATAAGTTCATTTTTAGGAAGGGGAAAATTTAGTGATGTTCATATGGCAATAGATAATAGAACTGGTTTAATTTTTGCATTGAAAATTATAAAAAAGTAAACTGTTATTGAACATGAAATGTAATAATAATTAGCAAGAGAAATTGCAATCTAATCTAAATTATAACATCCTAATATAGTCAAAATGTTTGGATAGAGTTATGATCAACAATATATTTATATGATGTTAGAATTTTGCAATAATGGTGAATTATTTTAACATTAGTATAAATAGCCTAATAAAAGATTTAATGAGAAAGAAGCTAGTAATTTTATAATGTAAATACTTTCTGCTATTTAATATATGCATAATTAAGGATTTATGCATAGAGATTTAAAAACTGAAAATATTTTATTATCTCTAGTATTAATTTATAATAAACATTTTTAGAATNTAATTAAAATTTATTTAATTTCAAGAAAACAATCAACAATGATTAAAAATTTTTTGTGTTATAACATTATTATATATTAAAATTTGAAGATGTTTCAACCCAATCAAAGTTAAATTAAGTACAACAATTAATTTGGTGCCACCTCTGCAGTGTATTTCTCACAACAACAAACATCAAGAGACAAAGTATAAAATTGCGAAACATCATGTAGACAATATAGACAAGAGAAGGCTCTGAAAATAAATAATTGCTTTAATATCCAGTTTCTCAAATAGTCTATGGTCCATCAATGAAATTCAATTCACCAGTGCATAGCAATATTGCGTTTCGCAAAACATCTAAAGAATTAAATATTACTATAGAAGATCCTTTAGTGAGTTAATAAGTACGTTAGCCATCTCCGAATGTCAAAAAATAAAGGGAATAGATGGAAAAGGATTGGAATAAATTAATTGACAAATCTAAGACTCTATAAGAAAATTTAGTATTGCTAAAAAACAATATCAGTATGAACTTAAACAAAAAATAACCTGATCAACGTTTAACTAAAGAATCAACAATTACAAATGCTGGTTTATCATCAAGGATGAAATTACAGAAAGTAAATGTTACTTGTAAACTAAATTCTCCATTCAAAGCTTAACCTAAATTAGAAGTTTGTAAGAGTTTGAGCCATAATGCATTTGGTAATCTCAAATTTGGTTCAAATGTTAATAAAAATCCAACACTAATAAACAATACTAGTTCTATAAATTATGTTAATATGAACAATAATTATGCTAAAAAGTTATTAGATGAACTTTAATCATAAAAAGTGAATACTTAAAATAAAATAATAAAATAAACCAATCCTCTCTATATTTAAATAGAAAATAAATTGAAATTAAAAATAAGTTCATTTTTAGGAAGGGGAAAATTTAGTGATGTTCATATGGCAATAGATAATAGAACTGGTTTAATTTTTGCATTGAAAATTATAAAAAAGTAAACTGTTATTGAACATGAAATGTAATAATAATTAGCAAGAGAAATTGCAATCTAATCTAAATTATAACATCCTAATATAGTCAAAATGTTTGGATAGAGTTATGATCAACAATATATTTATATGATGTTAGAATTTTGCAATAATGGTGAATTATTTTAACATTAGTATAAATAGCCTAATAAAAGATTTAATGAGAAAGAAGCTAGTAATTTTATAATGTAAATACTTTCTGCTATTTAATATATGCATAATTAAGGATTTATGCATAGAGATTTAAAAACTGAAAATATTTTATTATCTCTAGTATTAATTTATAATAAACATTTTTAGAATTACATTAAATTGTGTGATTTAGGTTGTGTTAGAGAAATCCCTAAGTATGAAGATAGAAGAAATACTTTTTGTGGAACTGTAGATTATATTGCCCCTGAAGTCATAAAAGATGAAGGATATGATGAAAGATGTGATGCATGGTAAATTGCTATTCTAGCTTACGAACTTGTAGCAGGTAATACTCCATTTTCAGAATTTCCAAGAGATGATGATGCCATTATGGAAAATATATTAAATGTAATGTTATTTTTTTATATTAGAATAAATTTGATCTTCCTCATTTCTTTTCTCCATCTTTGAAAGATTTTGTAATAAGAGGATTACAATAGAGTCCAGATCATAGAATATCTATCGATTAAATGTTGTTGCATAAGTGGATAGTTGAAAATATCAAGACAGATAGAGAATATGTATTTTGATCAAATTTTGTGATCTAAAACCTATTTTGTAATCTCATATGTATATCTATTTTTAATTAACTAATTTGTTTTATTCTTTTAGTTTGATAAATAAATTTCAAAATACTTCAAATCACAAAAAAATTAGTATAGTATTTGTTATATTTAATCATATAATAATCATTACTTAGCTTATTTCACAACATTTAGATTGATCTTTTCTAAAATCATTATAATTATGATATTTCCAACAGTCAACAAGATATATCTGATGAACTGGAGCTCCTGCAACTAAATCATCAATAAATGTTATTGAATGTAATTTAAATCATCTCAAAATCGGATGACCTTATTTATCAATCCTAAATCTTTAACTTAACTTTTTTAAGCTCAATCTTGTTTATGATCTACTGGAAATTTCAACTTATATTTATATATATATAAAATAAATTAATAAACATGTACATCAAGAACCCAAATATAATTAATTACAATAAAATTTTTTATCCATAACTAATGGAAATGATGATCAAAGTATAGTTCATTCAAATTTTTCTAATTCTTTTTGATGTTTATTGTCTAATTATGCAAGTCGATCTTATGTTAGAGCTCTTTCAAACTCTAATATTTTTTCAAGTCGCATTCTTTCAATTGGATCATCAACTTACCTTAATAATTTTTATCTATCAAGTTCTTTATTTTCTTCTTCTTACAAAAGCTAAATTTAATTTATTTTAAATATTTACATTTAACAATTCTTGATTTTATTTAATTTTTAATTCTTAGATTTGTTTCTCTTTAGTCATAATATCATAGGGAGCCATTACAATTGGCTTATTTTTTTACTATTATTCTTACAATGCTTTACCCTTTTAAGGGGCACTCTCAGGTCTTTTTTTGTGTTGTATATTTATATGTTTAGGTTCTTATTATTATTATTCTTTTAATAATTCAGCTAAATCTTTTTTAAGTTATTCTTTTTCCATAATTTGAGCTTTCTTATATTCTTATTTTTGTTTCTCTGAAGCTATTTTTTCTTTAATTAATTAATCTCTTCTTTAAGATTTTTCTTCTACTTTCTTTTTCAATTACTCTCTTTCATAATCTCTTATTCTCATCATTCTTTCTTAAGTTTCTTCTTATTCCTATTTTCTTAGTAATTCTTTAAGGTGTTTTTCTTTAATCATATCATCTCTTTCTTTTAATACTTTTAGTGCTTATAATTCTTTTGCTTCTCTTTACATACTAATCTTTTCACATTTTTTTTCTAATTCTTAATCATTTTTTAATAATAACTAATATATTTAATTTAATAATACTTATTATCTATAGTGTTCTCTTTCTTCTTAAAGTTATCTTTTTTGATGTAATGTTAGTTCTCTATCCATTTCATTAATTTTAAATCTATCTTCAATTTCTTTGAATTTAAACATCAGATCATCTTTTCTTTTTTCTTGTTATGCTGTATTCTTTTTTTATATCTCTTATCTTTTTAATTTTTGAATATCTCTTTTCATATCCTATTCTTTATTCAATAATTCAATTTCCTTTTATTTTGCAATCAATTTTTATTCAGCATTCAATTATTTTTATTAAAAATTTAAATACACTTAATTTAATTAATGTTAAGCCCTTCTCTTATTTTCATCTCTTCTATAATTTGCTTCTTCTTATTTTTCTTAAATTAATTATTATCTGAGTTCTTTCTCTTCTTCTAATAAGATCTGGCGTCTGGCTTCTCTTTATTCCATTTTTTATAATTTTGCCTCATATAATTATTCAAGCATTTATTAATGAACTCTTTCCTTTTCTTCTCTCTCTTCCTATGCTTTCTTTAATTATTTATCTCTTTTATTCTTTTATTTCTTAAGTTCTTTCTCTTATTATATTCTCTATTATGGTGTTATTTTATGAGTAGTTTCATATTTTAATCGATCTTATTCTGCATATAATTTTTATTTTCTTAAATGCTCTTAATATTCAATTTATTATTTTCTAAATTATTCTTCAATCTTTTTATCCTTCTTTCTTTATTCTAATTCTTAACGTTATTCATTTTATCTCTCTTTCAATTCCATTTCTTTTTTTCTTAATTGATTCTATAACTCTTATGTTTTTATTTCCTCATCTAATGCCTTTTACATTTATTTTTATCTTCTATTTTTTATCATCTCCATTCTCTTTCTTTCCTTTTCTAAATCAATCCTCTCAAACTTTTCATTCTCATATTCATCTTTCTATTGTGAAATAATCTCTTCTCTCTCTGCTATTAATACTTATACTCTAGCTTATCTTTTATCTTCTTCATGTTAAAGAAATATTTTCCAAGCTTGTTCATCTAAGTTTAAATTTTTATTTTCTCTTTTCAAATCGTATAAACTTTTCATAATCAATTGTTCTGGTCTAATTCCTTATCTTCTACAAGCTTCAATTGATCTTGGAGAATTAATAATTGGATCTCTGACTTTAGTTTAATCAAAATTTAAAAGAGAAACTGGAGTGATATGCATAAGTTAAAATTTATTAATTAAAACATTTATTAATTTACAAAATAATTCTTAGTGTGTATTCATATTTCAGTATTGAATATTTAACAGATTATGATATTTATACTTAATAATATATATATTGTTTGATCACTTATATTTGATTTTGTTTGTATATAGAGATTAATACATTTTAGATAAGAATTAATTTTATATAACCATAGCTGTATTAATAAAATTTATGTTTTTATTCTCTTAAAACATATATATATATATATTTAATTTTTCCTTAATTAGATTTGTTCATTTAATGAACGATGAAGCACAATCTCAAATTTGATTTAAAAAAAAATTTATGAGAAAAAAATAAACCCGCCCGTTATTTATACCTAACCCTGAAAATGGAGATTTTCCTTTTGACATCAAAAACGCAAATACACAAGATATAAAAGCTATAGACTTCTATAGAATGTACAATACAATGCAAATGTTTATAGAGAAATTAATACCAGATCAGGTAAAATACATTTTTATCAATAAAGTCACTCCTATAAAAAGTACAAACTAATATTGATGCCATTTACAGAGTCTATGTTGAAAAAGACTTAAATCCTCCTCCACCTTAAAAACTTGTAGGAAGAAGAAGTTCTCCTTATACATATTAAAAACAAGAGTTTTGGCAATTGGTTGAGCACTTAAATTCTTTAGGATTTTCTTATCGTCAAATATCTGAGAGATTACAAGTGCATTATGTTTAAATTTCAACTCATCATCGAAGCACTGTTGATTATGATGACGAAGATTCAGAATAAGAGTCATTTTCAGTAAAGAAGGAAACCAAAGAATAAGTTAAATAACTAATGGTTGTACAAAAATAATAACAACATGATGTTTTTTATTCAGATGATGAAAAAGGACAGAAATGAAATTCATAAATAAATAAATGCTTTTTCCTTTATATTCAAAATGTCTTTTATTTTTAAATATTGTACTTTGTTTTATACATATTAACAAAGGACTATCTAATTTAAACAGAATAAAGAAAAAAAGAATTGTAAAAAATAATGGAATAATTAATATAAATTTTTTTAGTCACTTTTTCTAAACTTTCCCTTTAATTTCTTCTCTCAATTAATTCAATAAATGATCTTCTTCTTATTCCTCTTATTCTTCATCTTTGCTTGGTAATTCATTAAAAATTTCATCATCATTAGGTATAACTGAATAATCTTAAGAATTATTTGAATGCAAATGGGAATTCTATTAATTTGGTTTGATTCTGACATTCCTTTTTAAAAATTCCTAATCATTTAATTCTAGAACAGAACTGAAAATAGATTTATTCAATAATTCTTATTGTTACTATTATATAAAAATTGTAAATTTACCAGTTCAGATAAGTTAAGTAATTTTTCTTTAATAGCATCTAGAATTCCTTAAAATCCTTTATCTTTTGATTATGCTAATTTTTTCAAATTTCTTGTAATCCAATTATTCAATTTATTTTATAACAATCCAGAAATTGTTGCTTTTTCTTCAATTTCTATGACCATTTTATCTTAATCTGTTTATTCACTTCTTAATTTATGATTTTCAACAAAAAACTCTTTATCCATATCACTATTTTCTTATTTTAATACATTAAAATTGTTTCTTAATTCTTGATTTTCTTATTTTAAATTATTTATTTTCTTTTCATAATCTGATATAGATATAAGTAAATGAGCATAAGTTTGTTCTCTCCCTATAAATTTCTAAACAATTTCATTAGCATCTGATATACCTGTTGAAGCCTTTATTTTTTAGAATGCTATTTCTAAATTTTGATATTAAGCAATTCCTCTTTGCATTTTACTTTTTAAAAAAGAATTTAAGAATTTATGAACTAATAATAATTTTCTCCATTTTTTTAATGCTCCATCTCTAATATCATTAGCAGCAACTTCTGCAATCTCTTATTATCTTTTTATTCTTTCATCTCTTTTGTGTTCAACATCTGATTTTTATTATAGTTCATTTTTAAATCTTGATATATTTTTTTCCCTATTTCTATTTTATTATTTAATTCCATCAGCCACTTCTTTCAAGGCTAACATTGTTTTTTAATGTAAAACTTAAATTTCCAATGCTCTATAAATTAATAAATATAATTTTACTTTTAACTTGATGATTAATATGATAATAATGCTTATTTAAGATGTCTTTCATATTAATTTGCTCTTAATTAATAAGTTACTTAATCTTTTTTCATTCTTGTTAACATATGTTCAAAAATCTTTTTATCATAATTGCTTTGACTTAATAATTTTTATTATTCTTATAATTTTAATGAGTATTCATTTTCTTGTCTTTCTAAATCCTTTTGTTTTAAATTATATTATTCTATTTAATAATTCATTTGATCAATATCCTTTCTCATTTTATCAATATCTTTATCTTTATTATTACCAGACATTTTCATATTATCACAACTTTTTTTTAATTCTGTCAAATTAGCATGTACTTCTTAAGCTTCATTAACTTTCTATTGTAAATATATCTATATTGTATTACTTTTTAATCTTCTAATTATTTAGGATAATAATCATTATCTTAACCTAAAACTGAACATACACTATTATGTTTAATCATTTTTTCAACTGATAAGAGAACTGATGAGTTACGATATTTCTCAAAATCACTCTTTTTAGATCTAGTACGAGATTTATGTGAATAAAGTCTAATCTTATTAATAATTGAAAGTGATTACATCTGGAAGTTCCACTACGGACATTATTGATAATAAATAAAATATATTTCATTGTATATATTAAAATAATTTTATAATTATTTAATATGATAATAGAAGAACTAATAAAAAGTTAAATTATATAGTTTGTGAAGTTATGTTTTAACTTTAAATAAATTTTTATCAATTATGTCAATCATGAAGTATATCTTTGGATTACAAATAAATCGCATTTAAAACTTGATCTTTTTAAATTTGAACATATTGTACAAATTAAGCAAGTTCTGAATCTATTTCAAAAGTCTTTAAATAATTCAACATATCGATTTATATCTTTTGTTATTATCAAATATTGTACAGATTCATCAATTAGATGATTACTTCCATTATAATCTTTCAATCCTCTATTTTATCTAGGGATTTATTTATGTTCTTCAATATCATCAATAATAGAAACCATTTCAATTATAATCTACTTTAATTATATTTGTATACTTTCCCATTTTAAGCTAAACATTCATAACATGAAATTATCCCATTTCCTTTAGTCAGATAAATACTAAATGGAGATTAATTACTTTAAAAAGAACTATAATAGTTTTCTGAAGAATTTTGAATTTGGATTATTTAATTATCAATTATTTCTTGCTCTTTTGATTATTATCTGTTTTAGAAATCAATACAAATTAAAATTTAAATATTTTCTACATTTTTACTTAGTTCTATTCTTAATTGATCTTAAAAATCTTTAAATTTGAAACCATTCCATTTTATTTGATCATTATTATAATGATTTATGTTTAATGGAATAGTTTCAATCATTTTTTCAATTTCTGTAAGTTAAAATAGATGATCTTTAAATAAACATTCAATATACTTATTTCAATTAACTATTATGGAATAATTATTTAAGATCCAGGAAAGTTCACAGAGAATAAAGTTCTTGCAATTCTTAAAGGCATTTTTATAATCATAGATGTTTTTGAATATGTATTTAATGAAATTATAATTAAAATTAAGATTATAATGGGTGCAGCAGTATGTAAATAAGGGAATCAAACCTATGGAGAAGAAATTATTTAGAATCAAAATGATGTTTAAGTTAATAATATGACTTTTGCTAAAGAATAATCATCAAAATTGGATGGTTCCAATCTTAAACATCCAAGTTTACAAAAGAAAATTATCACTTAAGTCACAGAGAAGCTACCAGATGACCCTATAAGTATATAATCAATTCAATATAATTATTACTAGATTTAAGCAACAATTAATCTAGTATCCTCTATGAAGAAAGATAGGAACCTACTACACCTGCACTTCCAACTCAGTAAATAATTCATATAAAGTAGCGATGTTATCTAATAGAATGTATAACAATAACATTTTTAGAAGATTTATTTATTGAATAAAGAGGAAGCTTAATCTGTAAAAATGAATTCAACATAAAAATTAGTGTCTTCTCAACAAGAAGAAATTCTACAATGTATCTATGAATTATGAAATTGAGATTAGAGTTCAAAGAATAAACATCGCAATATTCTAAATCATACAAAGATGATAACAGATAAAAGTTATTAAATATAAATTTAGTTGAAGATAATGTAATTGATTTCAATTATAATAGCTTGATGATTATATTTATTTTGATTGGAAGAACAGTAATTTTTAGTTAACTAATATTAATGAATAAAATCTATTGAAGAAAGTAAGTTCAGCTAAAGTTACTTCTAAATAAGTTAAAAAAAACTATTGATTTTTCATAGAATAATTTATATAGATTAACTAAATCATTAATATAAAAATTACATATTGAATATCTAATTTTTAGTGAATGTAAGTATTTATGATTTTTAATAATTTTCACTTACCATCACAAAAAAATTAAATAAAATTATATAATTAAACTTAGAAGTTGTATATTTCTAATATTTATATTAGATGAATATAATAATAAGTTAATTTGAATTTTTCCATTAAAAAAATAAAATCAAATAAACTTCAATTAATTTTATACCAAAAATATTCTTTATAAAATGTGTCTGTAAAAACTATTTTTTATAATAATAATGATTACATCTTTATATTCTTCATTCAATATTGATTATTTATGATATTTTTAATAATCCAAAATCAAATGAGATCTAAAGAGTTGAAAATAGAATCTATAAATATTATAATATTGACAATTAGAAAGTAATGCTTCTATTTTTTAAGGTAATTAAAATAAGTATTATATATGAAATGATCAAAAAGAAGTAAACTAAACCTTTAATAAAAATTTAACTTATATTTGAAAGATCACTTAGTTTATTTATAATTTAATAAGATGAATAAATATAGCACACGATTTAAAGATTCAGTTTTAGAAAAATAATATTTAATCCATAAAGTTTAAGTAATATAGTTTCCAATACTAACTTATTTGACTATTGGTGGCACTATTTTATTACTTGCAAATTCAATTATCAATTTGATAAACATTGATTACATAAATGCACTAATTACAGCAGCCATTATGACATATTTATTACTCTAATATATAGTTTTGAGAAAAAATGAATCACTTAAAATAAATTATTGTAATTTGGCATTAATGATGACTAATTTTGCTTCATTAATTTTTGAAATTTCAATTTATCCAGAATATGATTATTATGATGGGTATTTACTTGGATCTAATCAAATGTTAGTACATACAATTTTGATGTTTGCTTGTAATTTAGAATTAGGAATATTGAGTAATATTGTACTAACTATTGTAAGAGTAATTTTAGTAGTAGAAAATTCAGAAAATCTTACTGCATAATAATATTTTTATTCAATTATTGTGTCATTGAGTTTTATGGTGATTTAATATCAATTAGAAAAATAATATCGATAATCATTTTATCTATAATTCAAAGATAATAGTTGGGGTATTAATAATTATTTATATTATAATAGAAATCTTAATCCCATTATTATTGAAAAAACCATTTTTCATTTTTACCTTTAATAAAGAATCCAATATGTATTAAACAATTATGAGTTCTTAAAAGGAATTCTTTAATTCAGAAAAACCTCTTAGTACTTTCTTATTTAAATCTAAAGTAAAATAATAGACCTTAGAATAATATATAATTAGGAAAACTATTTACAATTAAAATAATAAATAATCTTCTTGTTTATTTAATCATCAAATTGATGTTGAATATTAGATGAAGAAATTGCAAGTTTCTATAATATGTTGTAAATTTGAATAAATGATTTACACTATTACTATAGATTCAGAAGATCCAATAATAAATTAAACCAATATAAAATTAAACTAAGCATTGTAAAATTGTAGAAGTATTTTAAACACTTAGATTTTGTAAATCAATAAAATTTTAGGTGTTTATTTATAAGATACTTTTAGTCCTTTATTAAGGGATTTAAGAATATCTTTATTTGAAGTATATTATAAATAAATATCAAATCAAAAATTATAATTAGTAAAAATGAAAAAGTTATTATTAAAATGTTCAAAAATATTCGAAACTCCTAATACTAAAATTAAAATTGATTGTAGTGAATAAATTCGATTTATTACTATAAAACCAATTTTAATTATATTTCTATTTGAAATATTTAAATAAGTGGACAAGAATTAATAAATATAGATATTCATAAATCAAAAAAATACAACAACAATGTTTATTTATGGATTAAAGTAATTACCTAAAACTGTATAATTTAAATAATGTTAATAAATTCTAATAGATAAAACTAATTATGAAACTTAGTGTAAAATATTATTATGCAAATTTAGATTTTTCATTTGAGTTTTAAAAATCTCCGTCTCTTCATTTTCATTTTGAGAATCATGATAAATAATAATAATTATATTGATTAATTTAATATTATCTATGATATATAATCATATATATTATAGAAGACTAAGAAAAATATCATTTTTTAAATGTAGAGAATAATTAAAAATAAAAAGATAAAATGAACTATTTTAGATTATAAGCTTATAGATTAAAAGATATATATTCTTTATTAATTCAAATACTAAATAATCTAATATATATTAACTAATAATAATATTAAATAAAATATTAAAAAAATGTAATATTCAAACACTTACGAGTCAGTTGTTAAGACTTAGGTAGTTAGTGGATAAGATCAAAAACCACTAAATTTAGGATTGACTGATGTTGAAGGAGCTAAGGTTAGTTTGTTAATTTCGAATATAGGCTGTTGCAAGAAGACTATTTGATACTTATGATAGAGATAGAAATGGATAAATAGATAATGTTGAAGTTGTTCCAATGATTGTAGATGTTTATAAATCATTCAATCGAATTTTCTCACCAGCTAGAGGAGATATTGACTCATTTTATAAGTTGATAATAATTGATATATTTTTATAGAGTTTTAGATAGAAATCAAGATGGAAAGATAACATATTAAGATCTTGAAGATTTATGTATTAGATATCTAACTAACTAAACACCAACAAATATAAGAGCTACTGAAGGTCCTCGTTAGAGTGGTATCCAATAGACATCATAAACAGTCACTTCACAATACAGAAGATCTTAATTTTGATTGTGATAGGTATATAAAAACGAATTGCCAAAATAATAATATTCAATTTCAATACTATCTGCTTGTAATACTACCAAATACTAATTGAATATGTGGTTCATCTTGAATATCAACTCTTTCAGTATTATTTTTCATGAAAACTTATGATGATTAAAGATTTTAGCATAACATTTCCAATTAATTGGAGTATATTCTAGAAAATAATCTTTTAATATCATCATCCATAAATTATAATATTGCCTCATCTGTAGAAGTTAGTTCTTACTTTTTAATAACTCTTGAATAAGCTTCATAAGCATCATCTAATCGTAATACATCTGGTTTTTCATTTTCCAAAATGAATTTATATTCTTATTTTTATTCTAATTCTTTTATTTTTTTTTCGAAATTATCATCAAACATATCATAAGGTATCATAGGTTTTGGAATATAATTAAATAAAGCTAATTGATCTTTGTTTAATAAGATATGTTTTAATTTATCTAATTCATTAAATTTAGTAATCAATTAACAAATATCTAATTTATTTATTATTTTATTCATAGCATATTTTAATTATCTTTATTTATCCTTTTTACAACCTAATTAGAATTTTATATTATCAAGTAAAGTAAAATTTAAAGAACACTTTTTTTTTCTTAAAAACTTTTTTATTTCTTATTAAGTTTTAGAGAATTCAGCAAAAGACTTTCTAATTTAAATGTTTTCTGATTTCATAACATCATCTTGAAAATCTTTGACATCACTTTTATTTAATTAATTACCAATTGGAACTGATTTAGCTACTGACAATATATCTAATTCAAGTGATTCCTTGCTTTCAAATCTAAATATTTTATTAGCCATAGCCAAATTCATTGAAGAAAATAAAATAGGATAAAATAGACAATTGAAAAAAATAATAGTGATTTACCATAAACCTCCAATTTATCCTAATAAAGTATATAGTTTAAGATAACTCCTTTAATATTAATTTCTTCTCTATTCTAAAAAAATAGAATTTTAGACCAAATATTATTAATTATATGGTGTACTATCTTCTTTTATAGTGGATTACATTATTGCTGTATCAATTACATAATCAGTCTTCAAAATACCATAATCTGTTTTTGTTTCAGTGACTTTGAAGGTTGAATGTATTGATTTTGAATTAGTTAAAGAAAATTGAGTATATTAAATAGATATTACATCTTAATATGGTTTTTAAGGTGATTGCATTTGGATTAACGCATCACTTAAATACATTACCTATAAATATGATTTGAATATATTTACAAAAAATCCAGATTACATTTTACTATTGATTTCTTCTAAAGATGCACAACCTTAATAATCAGTGGAATTTTTGCATATACTAAAAGTTACTGTCAAAAATTAAAATCTATCCTCTTGACTATATCCTTAGAGTTGCTATATACTAATTATTAATCTATACCAATGCATATTAATTCCAATAGTCAATAGAAGGGCAATACATGTATTGAAGTTTGAATTTTTCAAAATATTCTTATTAATATTACTCTTAAAAATGTTTATCCATTTGACAAGGTTCTAATGGAATATTGGAGCAGCTAAGTTATACTGAAGGTATCATACTTATAATCAATTTATGAAATTCCATCTTCATTTAAAGAACGAATTCTTAGACAATTTTGGACACTTAATGTAAAATATTTGTTTAAAGTTTGCAAAGAACTTAATTGTGGATTTGCAATTGTCAATACAAATGTAAAATTATTTTTCCCAAAATACAATGGCTTATCATATTATTTATTAATACAGAAGTATTTGTAGGTTGGAGTTCTGAAAAAACAACTTTAGGGCTATCTCGATTTGTCAAATCTAATATTTCATGGATAATGTAATATAAATAAGCAAGGCATATAATAATAGTTATAATTTAGCCTAACGGAGTAGAGAACTTTTGCCTCTTCAAAATTCTAAATTAAGGAAGCAATCCAAAAAAATCAAAGCGTTCTATTACTTATGTGGTTAAATTTTTTGAACAAGTTTAAGGTTTTTGAAATTTAAGCATAAATGTTATATAATATCTTAATTATTGAAAAATAAATGTTATTTTGAGCATCATGATTTCACTTTAGGTGAAGAATTTAATAATCTTAATTTATATAGGATTTACTTCTAAGTAAATGTTGAATTTCAACTTTATTCAAAATAATTTAATGAAACTAAACTTAAGTGAAAGTGCAATCCTTTACCCAAACTTACAAATAAGTAATCATAAAATAACATTTCTATGTTTTATAACTTTATTTTAACAATCTACTGATTAGTTGAATCTTTATTTCATAAAGTTATATTCAAATTTAATACTCTATAAATATTACAAATACAGAATAATGAATCTATATTATGATTAGTTTGGCCATCTATAATAGTGATATTAAATATTGAATTTTAAAAAAAGAATTCGTTTTTGACAAAATAAATAATAAAATAATGAAATCAACATTGACTGTTCTCTTGATTGTTTTAGTATCTGTCTAGGGTTTCTAGATTGATATGTTTAGCAAACATCATATCCCTAACAGAAACATTATGGAAATTATGATGTAAATTGAATCTCAACTTACTTCAGGAGGTCCCTTCGATACAATTAATACAATGTTGTAAGACTTCAGAACTTCAGTTACATCAGAATAAATTGCTCATGATGACTTATTTGCTAGATAAAAGAATGAATGTGATTCTGAAACAGCTTTTAGAAGAGGATAAATTCAAGATGCAAGCAAAATTTTAAGTTCTTCAACAAATTAATTGAACTTATGCTCATTCTAAAGATAAAAGGCAAAGGCTGAATTTGGTATGACTGAAGATTAACTTACAATGAATTAATAACATTTATCATTGATTTAAGAAGTCAGAAAAACAGAATAAGAAAACTTTAACAAGATGGCCGTTATTTTCTAAGATGCATTGAGAGTTATCGATGAATCTGTATATTTGGCCAAAAAATTCAGTGTTGGAGATGCCAGCTTAATCGAATTAGCTGATGCAACAGGTTAAATGATGTAACACTCTGTTAGTTTGAAAAGAACTGGATAATATGCTGCAGTTTTGGCTTCTTTAGCTAGAATTTCTTTAGCTGAATAAGTTAGTTCTGCTGATGTTGAAAGATTAATTCAATTATTATAAACTTTAAGGTATTTAATCAATTAATATATATTAGAAATAATATCGAAGATTCTTATAATCAATTCACAGCTGAAAACAATTAAGCTATTGTTCTATATAATAACTAAAAGGAAAGAATTGATAAGAATATTGCTAGATTAGAAAAATCTAAGACTAGACTTGAAGATTAAATCACTGATTTGAATGGATGTGTTGCCACTTAAACTGCCATCTCATAAGCTGCTAGTAACAAGAAGTAAAGAAATTAAAAATTGTTGGATGATGCAACTGCTCTTTGTACTACTTTCAATAGTGAATATGAAAATGCTTCAGCTGCTAGAAGATAAGAATTAGTTCTCTTATCTGAAGTTGAAAGATTAGTAGAAAAAAGATAAAATGAAATTAAATGATGAAAATTATCATCAATAATAATCATGTTTAATAAATTATTGTATCGTAAGAAGGACATTGACTCATTGACCGTGTAATACTTTGTGATTATCTCTACTTTAATCGTTCTCTGAATTACAAATTCTATTAATGTATATTCTCTCTAATGATAGCATCTTTTTGGATAGTATTTGTATGATGTGATTCAATTAAAGTGTTAAGTTGTTGATTTTATGTTTCTTGATTGAGTTAAGATTGAAAATTAATTTTATGGATTGTTTGTTTTGATCTAATTGATGTATTGAATTATTCTGGATCCAATTTAGAAATAGAAACTCTTGTTGTTTATGCTCGATTTGAATTTCTAGTAATATGTTCAATAGTATGATCTTAAGATAGAGTATATTGAATTTTTTCTAAAAAATAGTACTTGATTGGGTCTTGATGTTAGTCATAATATTCAACGCATTTAGAATACATTGCAATTAGTGTATCAATTGTAGAAATGGAATTCTTAGATTCAATACGTGCGATTTGTGTAAAGAATTCTCTAGAGAGATTCATTTTAATTAATGCAATTAAATCAATTAGGCAGGAGCAAAATGTGCTACTTGCAAGAGCATCAAGAATTTGATATGCGCATTAAGTATTTGTGTATTGACAGCCAATGCACTCTTTAATTCAGAGCAATGTGTACAGATTG